ATTTTTATTATTTTATCTTTTGCTGTTCAAGTAGTTATGTTCAGGGGGAATGTAGTGCTAGGTTTTTGTTTGTATTTCATGGTCCTTTTTAACTCATAAAAGAATGTCTCAGGGCATTTGCTGTCTATCTCATTATTTTGTAACTGTAACTCGAGGGGGGGGCAGCCTTCTTTGCCTTGTTTGTATGCTGACCTCACATGTGTGTGTGGTCTTGATTTTAGCTTAGGATGATACCATGTGGACTGTGGTGGTCAGTTTCTGGTGAATTTCAGCCCCACTGGGGGTCCCGATTGGACTGAATAGAAAGAATATTGGATGGTCATTGATGAAGACAAGTCAAATTCCACAGTGATCTCGCAGGCTCTTTTGTGCTTTCTCGCTACAGGCCGTGAAACCAAGGAGATTGGGGTCCTGATGCAAATGCTGCTACCAGATGGGGCATCATGGTCACTCATCTCATTCCTCCCACTGCTGCAGAACTGCTGCTGAGGGGACCGCCACGAATGCACCATCCTCATGCAAGCTCACCGAGGACGGCAGATAAGTAAACGATCTGCCTTAAGCTTGCAGGGTCCATCCACCACACCATTGCTGAGGTTTGGTGATCACACTCTACCATGGAACCGCCCCTCAGCATCTGACGGAACGTGTGGAAACAGCAGCAGTTGGGAGGAACAACGGAATCGACACCTGGTGATTGAGACTCCCCCTGGGTCCGTCCACACGATGCTGTGACCTGCCTCCAACGATGTCAAGATTCAGTACCCCAAATCTGTCTGGATTCATGGCTCCCTGACCAAAAAGACATCCCCTCACCATCCCAACCGTCACAGGATCCCACGTTGCTATAACAACATCAAAGTTGCTGACACACACCTTTTGCTCAGGATGGCTCTCTCTCCTGCCACACGACTTTTGTCGCCTAAAGTGCAGATTGGCTCCCTGCCACCCCGCCTCACGTTGCATGACAACGGCGTCCCTACGAGGACATTCGAGCTGAAGTAAGAGAGTCTGGGTCTGTTATGACCTTTTGCCCCTTTCCATCAATGAAAACCAAGCCCTTCACATCGACGGCCCCACCACCGAGACTCTTCTGTATCATCTCGACGAAAGTGCAACACCATCCCAACGTGATCTTCATTGCTCTGCCCCCCACTGCAGTCCCTCATAAACCCGACTGATAAGCCCTATGATCCTTGGCTCTGCCCCAATTAGAGCTGCTAAGCCCCTGACGCCTCCTATGCTTCATAGATTGGAGGTCAAAAAGAAATTGGTATCGGCTTTTGTGACAATGTTTGTTCTGTGTTTAGGCCTTGTTTGTGGTAAGAGAATGGTTGACAGGCTCATGACAGTTGCTTTAGTTCATATTTTACCTAATAAAGATTTAGTTCTTATTTTCCTCTGATTCAGCTGGTTTCGTTATGGCATCTGCCTGATTAATCCCGGTGACTTCTTGGTGGGATCTGAGTCCCTAGGCTCTGTTGGGTCCCTGGTGTGGCTGGTCGCCTCTGCGTCCCAGGTGGCTGGGTTCCGGGCTCGGCCGGCTTGGGGGTGGGAGGCTGTGGGCTTGCCGCTGATATCCCCCGGGACTCTGCCGGCTGCTGGTTGTGGCCTCCCAGGGAAATCCTTTGCGCCTCTCGAGGGGGGCTGGGGCTTTTCTGGTTGCAGTCTCCCTGGGGTCCCTGCGCTCTGGGGCAGCTCTTGGATCTCTGAGACTTGGAGCTCCTTCCATCTCCTACACATCTTTGGGGTAAATCTGTAAGGCTTGTCACCAGCATTCAGACATTAGTTCTGTTTGCTTCACAGCCAGACAGGACACGGAGAAAAAAAAGAAAAACAATGATTTAAAGGCAAGTTTGAGTATTTTTTGTTTACAACTTTTATTGTGATATCAGTTTTTCAAAAATTGTTATTAACTTTGTTTTTGTTTGTTTGAAGTACCTTTTTTATTTGTTAATAAAGAAAGAAAATAACCTCTGTTAGCTTTGTTTGCTCATAGCTACCTCGGCTCAGAATTTGATGGATGACAATCATCTGCCCCACACTGACAGCCCAACTCTCTGTACCATTTTTTGTATTTTCCAGGAGTCAAGTTCAACTTTATTCATATAACACCATTTCTGTTGCTCACGCCAATAAAATAAATAATAAAGATAAGCATAAACAATAAGATATAAATAAAATAAGAAGAGATACGACAATAAAACTACAACAAACCAGATAAAAGAGAATACGCAACTCAAGTACTACTAAAGCAATGTCAAATAAATACGTTTTTAGATTTGACTTAAAATGCTCTGTGCTTGTGGAGTGATGTAATGCGTGACATGGGGGGTTTATTTTTATATATAGTCTTTAGTTTTGGATGGTCCTAATGATTATTGTCATCATCCTCTTTGCCTCCATCTGACAACTTATTTTTATGTATAAAACACACCTTGATTTCAGCCTCAGTTTCCATGGTTACGTGTGACACTCGACCTCCCAGCTTACTAATATGCAGAATACTTTGTACTTGGAGTGCTTTGCCAATTATTGGCAGAAAGTGGGTTTGTGGTTGTATGTGACCTAGAAACATCTGACGACATTTGTATGACAGGTGTGATTGTAAAGCAGGAATTGTTTTTTTAACCATGTGTACGCAGAGTTTTATAGATCAAAAATGTTTTTGTATGATTTTTTAAAATGTTTTGCTGAGCCTGAGTAGAGTTTTTGTACAAACCTAGAAATTAAAGTACAGAATTCTACTTTTAGGGGTATAATGTCTTTTCACTGGGGTGGTCAAAGGTACCATTTTGTACCATCAAATGCGGGTACAAATTTGTACCTTTCTACATGCCAAACACATACCTTAGGGAACAAATTTGTACCCTTAATTTAAAGTACAAAAAAGGATGACATGCATAGAGACTGCAGACCAGGATGTGAAGCTGGGACCTCCTACCTAAAAGGCAACTGCACACACCACAACACCACTGTGGAACTGTGTGTAAGGGTGTTTTTATTTCAAGATGACAAAAGTATCAGAACGCAGATACAAAATCAAAAGTACTTGCTACAAATATTTACTTTTCAAATACAATGCTGACCTGTTAAACTTATCAACAGTCCTTGTCAAAAGGTATCAAAGGCTATTATGACGTTTGTTGTCCCAATATTTATGCTTTAAAAACTAAATTGAGCCACAGTGTCTCTTTTCATTAATAATTAATTAGTTAACACATTTTTTTTACATTTATTTTTATTTTTTTATCCAACAAATAATTTTACAACCATCTTTCAGTGCTCACAACATGGTGAACAGTGAAACTGTGAAATCTATTTTAAGAAGTATAGCTTTGTTAATGGATTTTTTTAGTGAAAGGGATCATAACCAGATGTACCTTTTGAAAGAACTGGTACAAATGTGTACCTTTTACTACTAAAGCCTAATTTGTACTTCTCCGTCAGCTCCAACAGGGAGAGACACGCACGGACGGAGACAATTTGTCCTCATACTTCTCTGTCTCCCGGGGGGCGTTACAAAGCAGTTCCCCGCCAGGACACCAGAGGGCGTAGTGCTGTTCTGTGGTATCCTGTCATGTATAAACTAGGTTTAAGGAACATATATGTTCAGACAACAACAGAAGTACCCTGAGGTCCAGTGGTAATCCTTAGATTTAGTTGAAGTCATTTTGTCCCCTTGGGCACAACATTGTTCCCTTTCCAAACCCCTATTTTTGACTGTGTAGGGGACAGCGAACTAGCAGCTGCTCAGCATGAATGTGCACAACGGTGCACAGTCAGCAGAACTGCCTTATTCCCCCCCCCCCCCCCCCCCCCCCCCCCCCGCCCATCACTGTTACTGCTACAGCCCATTATGACACAAAGTGATGATGGAGAGCTGCCGGTTCTGGCTCTGTGGGAGGGTGTGAGTTCAGAAGTCTGGATGTGGAATAATCTGGCAATCAGGTCCTTTTTCTGCTCGTTCTGGTTGCTCTCCATCCTTATTGTGTCTGCAGCTTCTGCTGAAGCTTTCAGAGCGGGGGTGGGGACACTTCTCACACCACTGTGTGTGTGTGTGTGTGTGTGTTTTACTAAAGACACATGCAGAGTGTGGGTGTTTGCCTGAGCATGCACCTGCAAGCCTGACTGTATGGTGTTGGTTATAATGGGGAAGAGCATGAGCAGTGCTGCTCATTAAACCAGAGTGTGTGAGGAAAGGTGGACACACACATGTGTGTGTATGTGTGTGTACAGAATGAGAGGAGGACGGGTAAGAAGCCACACCCGGCCTTCCTGCTACTTCCTCCTACCTTCATTTTTCTTGTTCCCTCTCTTGCGCACACACACACACACACACACACACACACACACACACACACACACACACACACACACACACATACACCTCCCTCATCTGCTGCTAGTCTGGTGTTTCCATGAGAACAGAGCACTGGGTATGGGGAGGGTGGTTTGGTGATGTGGGTGACGTGTCCTAAAAGCACAGAAAGTGTGTGTGTGTGTGTGTGTGTGTGTGTGTGCATCAGCACTCACTGCTGCTGTCTTGTGCATGCCTCCTGGCAGGAGCTGCTCCCAGATGTGCCAGGAAACACGCTTTATGTTCATAATTTGGACTCTGCAGTCACGGGATTATAATCTGAGATCCTTAGAGTTTTCTTAGTCTGAGGGGGAGATTTGACCAATCAGCTTCTTAAATGTTTAAATGAGCAAAAGTAAAACAGGCAGAGGGTTAAAAGAGTAGGCAATGTTGAGGGAATTAAAAACGAATCCAAATGAAACAGAAATAAAGGAAAGACTGGAACTGAAGGCATTCATTCTTATTTTGGGTGGGGCTGAGGCTTTTGCTAGAGCGGAGCTGAGAGGGTGGAGGGTGAGAAGATGTAGAAGAGAGGAGTGCTGATCTAAAGGGATGGTGGAGGGGCTTCATCTCTGAGTGAGAAGAGGAGGAGGAGAGTGTGAAGGAAAGAAGAAAAAAGGAGGAGAGAAGGATGGAGGGAGGAGGGGCTTAAAGGGTGGGCTTGTAGTCATTGTCAGGCAGCGAGTAGGAGCAGACTGAGTGAAGAACGTGTGTGTGCAGACTGGGATGAGTAGATGCACCGGGCAGCTTAGCTGTTGAAACAGCCAGAGAGAGAGAGAGAGAGAGAGCGAGAGGGGGGAGACAGAAGCTGAGAAGAAAAAGGGAGGATACTTCAACTACAACTATGCTGTGCTGCATAAGAAGAACCAAACCGGTAAAGTGCTCTGCTTTGCTTTCTCACCATCTCACACTAAATGCTTCATCTGTGCCATAAACTCTGGGATTGGGATGCCTTGTGGTCAGATTAGAGGTTCTAGAGGAGAGATTAGAGGAAATATAGATGCTGTGAAGAGGCCTGACTTGTGTTCATAGAAAGCTCTCCACAAAGCCCAGACACGCCTAGCTAATGTGATTATCCCGCCTGAATGGATGTTCCTCTCAGACCTCACAGACACTCCAGACCAGGACTCCATCTTGGCCAGATGCTCCTTATTGATCCAACACTTAAAAGTTAAAGATCATTAAAAGGTACTTGACAGGTGTCCATGGAAGCTCCTCCACCTCCCAGGGTCATCAGACAGACCTTCTCCTGGCTTACTGAGTAGAGACGGGGGACGCACGAAAAAGGGTGGGGTACTTCCTCCATCATGTCAGCGGCCTCGTGGGACCATGATGGAAATAAACCAGTACAACTGGATTACCACAGCCCTCCAGCCTGCTCCCATTTAAAGGCTGTTGGGGACTTTTAATAACCGGCGTCCAGAATAATCAAAAGGGACAGAAAAGACGAGGTTGCTATCACGCTGGGCCAGTGTGTGTGTGTGTGTGTGTGTGTGTGTGTGTGTGTGTGTGTGTGTGTGTGCTGCTATCTTAACACTGATTGTCAGACTCATAACGGGCCTGGTTACGCCTGGATGAGTCATATTAAGAAAGAGAGAGAGAGCAGCAGGGGGTGCCTCAGAGCTAGCCCTGCTGCACATGGATGTATGGAGACAGGTGGGGAGAGACCGGGATGCAGCAAAGCAGAAAGGTCCAGAAGTGGATCTGTTGGCAGAATGGATGAGGCAGGAGCCAGCATGCTGCAGCGATGTGGGTGAGGCACCTCAGCTCCTGCTCTGGAGACAGATGAAAGAGGATGGTCTAGTTCTCATGGATGGATGAGCAGAAAGCCTGATCTTCTGCTTTGCACCAGCACCGTGGCTCCTGCTGAATGGGAGTGGCCGCCAGCTCCTCCTGTAGGTTTGTCGCTCCCGCCTCTGACTGCTTCTCTTGTGCTCACCTCCCAATATTCTAAAAGTTTGTAAGCAAGTCTGAGTTAGTGCTCCTTTTCCATCTCCTCCTTCTTTCTAAGAGGATCTAATCAAATCCCATACATTGCAGGTTTTCTCTAAGTGTCCCAACCCGACCGGCTCTCTTCAGGCTGACACCAGGAGCTTTTCTTCCTGCCGGGTTTTCACTTCCATCAAGAAAACCTGAACTGTGATTTCTAACTACAGCCCACCTTCCCACCCCTCCATGATCTAACCATTTTCCTCTTTTCACCAGCGATCCTCTCCCCAATTCCCTCACCCCCCAGCAGCAATGAGATCAGTGGGGATGGCTGAGCCTTTGTTTGAGTCGATGTAACTGAATTACAGGCTGTGATGCTTTGGGCATCTAGCTGTTGTAGGTGCTGTGGTGCATCTTCTCCTAGTCCGCGCTTTCAACCAAAACCAAAACCATTTTGTTCTTTTGTCTGCGTGGGGGAGAGCGCAGAGGAAGCACCTGAGTCCCCATCTGCAGCAGACAGCCGGCTAAAAGGGCGTGGTGCTCCACTGAGCTTGTGTGCGTGTGCGTGTGTGTGTGAGTGTGTGTGTGAGTGTGTGTTCTTGTACTTACTACATACTGAGGACCATTTCCCCTACAATGTGAGGACATTTTTCAAAGTGAGGACATTTTTGGGTCCTTGCTTTCTTTAGAAGCATACCAGTTGGTTGTAGAGGTTTGGTGTGAATTCAGTTTTAGTTAAGGTTAGGGTTAGTAGTAGTGGTTATGGTTAGGGTTAAGGGATGGGTTAGGCATAGTGGAGTCACAAAAATGAATGGAAGTCAATGGAGGGTCCTCACTAAGACAGACATGTATGTGAGGGTGTGTGTGTGTGTGTGTGTGTGTGTGTGTGTGTGTGTGTGTGTGTGTGTGCGTGCGTGTGCGTGTGTGTGTGCGTGTGTGTGTGTGAGTGTGTGTTCTTGTACTTACTACATACTGAGGACCATTTCCCCTACAATGTGAGGACATTTTTCAAAGTGAGGACATTTTTGGGTCCTTGCTTTCTTTAGAAGCATACCAGTTGGTTGTAGAGGTTTGGTGTGAATTCAGTTTTAGTTAAGGTTAGGGTTAGTAGTAGTGGTTATGGTTAGGGTTAAGGGATGGGTTAGGCATAGTGGAGTCACAAAAATGAATGGAAGTCAATGGAGGGTCCTCACTAAGACAGACATGTATGTGAGGGTGTGTGTATGTGTGTGCGTGTGTGTGTGTGTGCGTGTGTGTGTGTGTGTGTGCGTGTGTGCATATGTATGTGTGTGTGTGTATGTCTGTGAGTGTGTTTGGGTGTGTGTGAGTGTGTGTGTGTGTGTGAGAGTGTGTGTGTGTGTGCAAAATGTGTTGTGAGCTAACGTGATTTTGCTCTACTTATGTGTAGCCATCCTTAAGCAAAAAAGTAACTAAGTAACTTTTACTTTGACTACATTTTATCTAGTCACAATTCACCACCATTCCCATTCCAACCGTCAGAGTTTACCTTGACAACCAGAGTGCTAACTCACCTCGGCCCTGTCTAGGGATGGGTACCTTTCACATTTGAATATATAAGGTACCAATTCCTGGTACCCACAACATGATACAGATACTTAACGGCACAAATTTTCGATACTTTTGAGTCTTTAAAAATTATTTAAACAGTTTTTTTTATTAAATATATATTATTTTCCCAATATTTAACCATATTTGATAAATATCACGATGAAATACAACAGTTTGTATGTTATCATCGTAGTGTTGTACAAAACTCTTCTACATGAAAACCTTAAACAACAACGGTTTCTAGATGATGCAAAAACAAACCCAGCTCCATGTACTCATAATCCTCTTCTAATCTCTCTGGAATAACTCTGATGAGGACACCATGTATTATAAACTACTAATGAAACTAAAACATACTTCGATACCATACAACCGTTTGTATTTTAATATTGTGGTGTTTCACTAACTAAACCAGCTCCATGGACTCCTGTTCCTCTCCTTTCTCCTCTGGACAAACTGTGTGATGGTGGGTCCTTGTAGCTTTATAAACTGTGATGGTGGGTCCTTGTAGTTTTATAAACTGTGATGGTGTGCCTTTGTAGTTATATAAACTGTGTGATGGAGGGTCCTTGGAGTTTTATAAACTGTGTGATGGTGGGTCCTTTTAGTTTTAAAAACTGTGTGATGGTGGGTCCTTGTAGTTTTATAAAATGTGATGGTGGGTCCTTGTAGTTTTATAAACTGTGTGATGGAGGGTCCTTGTAGTTTTATAAACTGTGTGATGGAGGGTCCTTGTAGTTTTATAAACTGTGATGGTGGGTCCTTGTAGTTTTATAAAATGTGTGATGGTGGGTCCTTGTAGTTTTATAAACTGTGATGGTGGGTCCTTTTAGTTTTATAAACTGTGATGGTGGGTCCTTTTAGTTTTACACATTGTGTGATGGTGGGTCCTTGTAGTTTTATAAACTGTGATGGTGGGTCCTTTTAGTTTTACACATTGTGTGATGATGGGTCCTTGTAGTTTTATAAACTGTGTGATGGTGGGTCCTTGTAGTTTTATAAACTGTGATGGTGGGTCCTTGTAGTTTTATAAACTGTGTGATGGAGGGTCCTTGTAGTTTTATAAACTGTGTGATGGTGGGTCCTTGTAGTTTTATAAACTGTGTGATGGTGGGTCCTTGTAGTTTTATAAACTGTGTGATGGTGGGTTCTTGTAGTTTCATAAACTGTGTGATGGAGGGTCCTTGTAGTTTTATAAACTGTGTGATGGTGGGTCCTTGTAGTTTTATAAACTGTGTGATGGTGGGTCCTTGTAGTTTTATAAACTGTGTGATGGTGGGTCCTTGTGTCAGGGTGCGCTGGTGAGTGGAGCGGAGGTGAGGATCCAAATGCAGGGGAGAAAGCAGGCAGGCAGACAAACTGGACAACTGAAAGGGTTTTAATGATTCACGCACGCAGGACATGGAAACAATGAAGCAACAAGAGACAAAGGACTGGAGGGGTTTAAATACAGGAGGGCTGGGAGCTTGGGTGATTGGGAAACAAGAGGCAGGTGGGAGCAATCAACAGGGACAGAGGCTGAACCAAATGGAGAGACAGGACAGGGTGTGACACCTTGTAGTTTTATGAACTGTGATGGTGGGTCCTTTTAGTTTTATAAACTGTGATGGTGGGTCTTTGTAGTTTTATAAACTGTGATGGTGGGTCTTTGTAGTTTTATAAACTGTGATGGTGGGTCCTTGTAGTTTTATAAACTGTGTGATGGTGGGTCCTTGTAGTTTTATAAACTGTGTGATGGTGGGTCCTTGTAGTTTTATAAACTGTGTGATGGTGGGTCCTTGTAGTTTTATAAACTGTGATGGTGGGTCCTTGTAGTTTTATGAACTTTTTGATGGTGGGTCCTTGTAGTTTTATAAACTGCTAATTACACTGAAGCAAACATCATTGCTGTGAACTACATTCACTGTGTATCTTTTAGGGCTGTAGCGAAGCCTCGACGAAGTCGACGGCTCGATTCTAAAAATTTGTCGACGTCAGATCCGGAAGTCGACGCACCGCGCCCACTTGTTGCATCCCCAGGAGTTTGTAAATAGAGGAGGAATCTGCCTGTTCTTCCTCTAGTTCGCCCTCTTCTCCGCCTTCACTAACATCTCCGCCAAATACCGAAGACCCGGAACAACGTCCGTCCACTACTAGATTATTTTCCTGTTTTGCCCCTTCGTCTCCCGGCAACGGACAACAACTTCCGGGGTCAGATGCGCTGCTTCGTGTCTATCGCAGATGTAGAAAATCACCGGGAGCGCTTCTCCCTTAATAAAGGAGCTTCTTTCAGACATGAGGAGAGCTGTTTTGGTGGTAGCAGTCTCTCCTCCGTGCTGGTCTGTTTGCTGCTGGGTGTTTTTGGTTTATTTAAACTTGGTAACTTGAACTTAATGT